GATTTATTGTTAATATATCTAGGATATTCGGGTCGGTTAAAGAAACAGAAAAATTAGGAAAACAATTAAAATATATCGGACCACTACAAAGGCTGAATTCAACCATGCCGAGTAGAGAGTCTGTGAATATATTGTGTCTTGTATCTCTTAGGCATACAAGCACAGAAGTGTTCAACCCTAAACGGGTCAAAGGTTTTACTGCTATTTGGATGAGGCCAATGTGTAAATATTTATAATTATTTTCTTTATCTTTCTCTATTACTTTCTTTGAAAGTAGATGAAAGTCTTCTTGATTTTGTGTTACTGATAGACTTTCTTCTACAGTCTTGATGGCATATCCCATCTTGAGTTTGAATGATCCTTTATTATAAACATCATGAATTGGTACTTTAGGAATATTCCAATTTTGAATATTTTCCTCAATATCATTTATAATAATTTGTTCTTTTTATTCTATAATTAAGATTAAGAGACAATTTACCATAAGAAACTAAGTGAAATTGACCACCAAGAAAGTTGGTCCGAGAGTTAAGACAAGAGACAAGTGAAAGCCGATGCGAAAAGTACCGCCAAGGCCAGGAGAGCCGCTTAGGGAAAAAAGCTAAGGCCACTGAATGTCCAGATTGTCATTATCCGCAACCTACGGATGGCTAATCTCATAAAGAATCTTACTGGTAAAACTGTATCTTCATCTTCAAAACTTAGAGTTATTAATCTCTTTTTTGAGAAGTGTGCTGATCACTTACTCGTTTGATAATAGCAGAAAAGTTGTATTCATCTGGATTTTTTATGATAGGTAATGATTTTGATTTATTTTTAGTGTTATTGATAAATTGGGTAATGATAGCTCTTTTTTCATCAGGATCAATTATTTTATCTATGATATCTAAATAAAATTATCTTCTTGTGTAAGTGTATGAACATTATGTTGAGGTAGTGGACATCTACAATCTTTTTCTTTTGATGATTCTGATGATTCTGTAGTATCAGTATCAGTATCAGAACTATTTGTTATGAGAATATCAATATCATCACTAAAGACCCGAGAGTATTATGAGGCTATCCTGATGGAAACAGAGTCCATCTCTGTTGTCCACTACTTTCAACAGAATACCCGAATAATAGCCTATTCAAAAGTCCAAATAAAGAAACTTCTTTCATATACTGAGTGGGGTTCTAATCCCGCACAAGGAAAGAAATTACAAAATCCAGAGTTTTCTTATAAGTATTTTAAATATGCTGAGTACATAGAGGCTTGGCACAAATTTTTCTATTATCAAAATCCTAACAATACACATAGCTGGTATTTACAGTTCCGGCTACCTATTTTTGAAAGGTTCCCCACTTGGTTTCAAAACTGGTATTTTGTGTGGGGATCAACTGCTATGATTCTACCTCCTGCTTTTAAGGAGTTGCAGGAACAATTCATCCAATACAATAATATTGATAATTCAGTTGACACTCACCTTTACTTTATGGCCTTGTATCAAATCCCTTGGATTATGAAATGGGATTATACCATATCACCTAATACCACAAATGATTATACATACATCCCTCGTTTGGGAAAAACCATATCTGTTAAATGGTGGGATATCTTCCAAATGGATCTCACCAAAGCCACTCCAAAAAGAATACCACCCAGAACACCTAAATACCAGGAAAACCTAAATACTCCAAACACCTCTTTTGATTTTCCAACTTACCTTCGAAATATGCTGCAAACCAACCCACATGCCTCCAAAGAAGAACTGGAGAAACAAATGAAAGAAATTTTTGCTGAAGTCGAAAGAAAACCCACATCTTCCGAAGAAACAGTCCAATCTTCTCCACTCCACACAAATAGGTACCTCCAACTCAGTCAAAAGGATCCAGAAGAGACAGACCCAGAAGAAACAGATCCGGAAGAGGATGATCCAGAAGAATTCAGTCAGAGACCATAACTTCATCATCCATGACATCACCATCCAAAGAAGCAATAAAAGACAAGATATCAAGATACCATATGGGACAAACAAGGGTCCCACTGCCGACAGCAAAAACTGTACTCCAATTGTAATAAGGCCAAAAGTGCCACTGTGCATAGAAGCTTTTACTTTTAGTTTTTGTCTTTTTGTTCAAAGAGCATCTCCTTATGCTCTCGCTCTTATCTTCTAGAACCTCCATTATTTCTTTTTTGTTTTCTTACTGGTCCACCACTCTCCCTCTTTTGTCACCTTCTGTCGACAAAGTATCTCTCTCTTTTGTCACCTTCTGCCGACCTCTTTTGTCACTTTCTGTCGACGATATTCGGCCAACCTGTCCATCTTATCTCCCCAAGAGATTCCTTTCGGGACTCCACTATAAAAGGGAAGCTCCTCCTCTTCTTCGAGGCAGGGCCTCACTCCTCTCATATCCAACCTAAAGGTTCTCTGCTACCCCTACCTGTGCATCAAACCTCTGAGCCTCCTCAACCTCTGAGTCTCCATAACCTCTGAGCCTCCTCAACCTCTGAGTCTCTAAACCTCTGAACCTCTGCAACCTCTGAACCTTTGCAACCTTTCAGACCCCTGCAACCTTTCAGACCCATGCAACCTTTCAGACCCCTGCAACCTTTCAGACCCATGCAACCTTTCAGACCCCTGCAACCTTTCAGACCTCTGCAACCTTCCAGACCTCTGCACCATTACTCTCACAGTAATAGTTCTGCAGCTATCTTCGCCCTCATTGCTCAAACAGGTTCTCTCTTACCTTGCTTTAATACTTATGTGTGATTGTAATATCCAAGATTTACCTTCATACTGCCCTCATCACTGGAAGTTATTTTCCAGTTACTGTTTATGTGCTCAGTAAGTTTCCTATCTCTTTGCTTAAAAAAACCTACTCCGGTTATCTCTCTGTTTATTTATCTCTCTGTTTATTTATCTCTCTGTTTATTTCTCTGCTTCTAGTGTTTCCTCTATGTAATATCTTTTCATATGTAATATCTTTTCATGTAAAATTTCTCTTGTACATTAATAAAGTGTGGACCTAGTATGTGTTTACTTATGCTTGCATATTATGCAATTTAAGATTTTATTTAATATTAAAATAGGCAATACTAGTTATGCTCAGTGGATAGTACTTGACATCTCAATAGTTCCGTTAATAGGAATCATATTGTTCTGTCTCAATTATTATAGAATTTTACAATCACTAGTTCAATACAACAGTCTGTTGTTTACATACTTATTATAATCCCTGCAATCAAAAATCAAAATTCAAATAAATAGCAAAACAAGGGTTAAGAGTGACAGTGCTGTAGATCCTGGCGCAAATTGGTATCAGAGCCATAACAGTGAAACACTGTCAAAACAAATTACAACAGTAGAACTATTCCAAAGTGGAACTGTGCAAACAGTTACAACTGAAGAATTTGTAAAACTGTTCTTTTTATTCTATAATTAAGATTAAGAGACAATTTACCATAAGAAACTAAGTGAAATTGACCACCAAGAAAGTTGGTCCGAGAGTTAAGACAAGAGACAAGTGAAAGCCGATGCAAAAAGTACCGCCAAGGCCAGGAGAGCCGCTTAGGGAAAAAAGCTAAGGCCACTGAATGTCCAGATTGTCATTATCCGCAACCTACGGATGGCTAATCTCATAAAGAATCTTACTGGTAAAACTGTATCTTCATCTTCAAAACTTAGAGTTAAGAATAAAGAACAAATTATTATAAATGATATTGAGGAAAATATTCAAAATTGGAATATTCCTAAAGTACCAATTCATGATGTTTATAATAAAGGATCATTCAAACTCAAGATGGGATATGCCATCAAGACTGTAGAAGAAAGTCTATCAGTAACACAAAATCAAGAAGACTTTCATCTTCTTTCAAAGAAAGTAATAGAGAAACATAAAGAAAATAATTATAAATATTTACACATTGGCCTCATCCAAATAGCAGTAAAACCTTTGACCCGTTTAGGGTTGAACACTTCTGTGCTTGAATGCCTAAGAGATACAAGACACAATATATTCACAGACTCTCTACTCGGCATGGTTGAATCCAGCCTCTGTAGTGGTCCGATATATTTTAATTGTTTTCCTAATTTTTCTGTTTCTTTAACCGACCCAAATATCCTAGATATATTAACAATAAATCTCAAAACACATGGATTCAATATGATCCAAGGATCACAAAATCTGGCTATAGTATATAGAATATACTATAAGGTCATGAACACTTTAAGTCCCAATACTTTAAAACTTGATCAAAAAAAAAAAATAATATATATATATATATATATATATGTGTGTGTGTATGTATGTATGTCTAAATTATACGAGCATGGGTGTACAACAAACTCAAGCAAAACCTGCCTCACCCATAGGGCGAGGCCTAGTGACTCTGCCGAGTTCTGGTACCCTGCTTACAACCTTATATAAACTTGTTCCTCTCTCTCTCT